CCCCCAAAACCCCAAAACCCCAAAACCCCATGCTAATAAATTCATGAAAATGAATAGAATCTTAAGTATATTCATAAATCAACTTAAATATAATCAGTTACTCTTACTCATGTTAGTCTATGATAATCTTTACTTATTCTCGCACTAGCACAAACTAATTCATTAATTCCTCTTGGAGGTGATTTCTTCTTTTACATTTAGTTCTTTTAGTTGCTAGAGTTTGAGCCTCTTAGCGATTGTAACTCAGCCAACGCATTATAGCCATCTCCATTCTTGCCTTAATTAAACTTTTAGTCATAGAGATCGCAAAGATTTGATTGAAACTCACTTGTTCCTTCATTAATAGAAAAGGGGCACTTCTCATTTGCATCCTTCATATTCAAATTCTAAAACTGAAGGAATTCATTGCTATTTTTTGGACTAGGTATATTTACTCTATGTGAGTACATTTGCATATTATAAGTGTCATCTATAGTATTTTCTGTCTGCATATGGTTTATTCTGCTTCCACTTCCGCAAGACCTATTTTTATCTTAAGGTGGAATATAGGATTCACCAGTTCTTCTTGTTTTTAATTCCAAAATCTTATAAGTGTTTCTATTTATTTCTGGCCGACCAAGGGTCTCTCTATCCTAAAACCCTTATATTTTTGTAATTTCATCCTTGAGAATCAACTACTGTCTACCTTATTCATATAATCTTTCCCCAGCAGCCTATGACTTCTAAGACTGAATAACATCAGCTTAATTTTTGTTTCTTGAATCAAGAGATCTTCTCTTTTTAATGATCTTGGGCTAGAATGTTGCTTCTCTATCCAGAATCTCCTGCATAATTTTAATTTTTTCTTATTTTTTTCTCAAGTATTCAGCATTTCTTCTCTCAAATTCCTATTGCTTTTGTATCCTAAGGTCTTGTGTTTAATAAGTTTAGACTTAATCCTCTGAATTTTCCATAAATGAATGATCCTTCATTTGGTTAGTATTTTTAATCTTTCCTTTGAGAGCAGAACCAGAATTATTATGCTTAAGAGATTGAATTTTTTAAATTTCTTATGGAGAGCTATAGTTATTTTGCTAATTTTATTAATTTCTACTGAAGGTTAATGGAGTTAACTGCTATGATTTTTACTGCAACTATTGCTTACTTTTTTCTATTTAATCATATTAGACTTTATTCAATCTTTCTGGACTCTTTTTGTTTTTAATTTTATCATTTGAGGATTTACCTTAATCCTTTTCTGGCTTTGAGTAGCTGAGTTTATTAGGATCATTTTGATTTTCCATTTTCTATACCCTCTGTTTTCTTTCTTCTTAAGGTGATTAAAATTAGGTATTTATTTATGTAGATAGATTTTTAGGAAAATCATTATTAGGTGATTTTTGTCTCTTTATCTGTATATTTTCAGGTGTATTTTTAGGGTTTTAGCTCTCTTATGTTTTCATAATTATGTTATCTCCATTTTCAGATTCAAAATTGTTATTAGTTGAGAAGATCTAAGTGGCTTCTTCAGGTATTAATTAATTATTTTGATGACTCAAGAAGTTTGCAGGATTTGGTGATCTAGCTTATTTTCTCTTATTAACCTAGGGAGCGAAAGTGCATTCTTTTAGTTTTTCTTGCTCATATTTATCCCTCTTTTTCTTAATGAGCTCTTCTTTCTGTTACTTTTCTTGATATAGCCTTTCATGAAGTTTAGAAACTGGTTTTGGAATTCCTTAATCTGTTCTCACGAAGAAAGCAGGCCTTTTAAACCCATTTTGTATCATCTTTTCTCTAAATTCTTTCAAGTTTATCCTATTATACCCTTACTTTTATCTGCCCTCGTCAACCAATTCTTATAAGGATGAAACACTTGCTAGCGGCTTTTAAGACGGCAAATTTTGATTTATACTTATTGCTTCTGTATTAAATCTCTCTTAGGAGTTATAGCCACTTTTAATACTATCATAATCTTTATCTATATGATCTCTTGATGCATACCGCAACAAAGGGGATCTTTTGACTGGAGACAAGGCCCCTAAAACTTATTAATTTTGAAATGCCTTGGTGCTTTATTAACCGAGATTATTATTAACAGAAAATTCAAAATTGTGTTAAATTCCGATCAGTGCTTGTGTATTATTTTTACTTAGGAAAGACATTGAGTTGTCCTTAAATAAAGTTGAGTGATCATCCATTATTGAACTTAATTCTTTTTACAAATCTCTTGGCTAGGGGTCAAATTAAGTAGCATGAATGTATGCTTTTAACTAGGATTAATTTGGTATGTACTATGAGAAGTACCTCTCTCTCCCTTTGACATTACTAGGATTCAGACTAAAAGTATTTCTTGATCCATTACTTTAAGGAGATTGATCTCCTTACCTAGACTTCACTTTTAATCGAGGTTAATTGATAGTTGCATTTTTCATCTTTTAGTATTTCTCATCTAGCGCCTTGATATTAGCGAGAATAGAGTTGTCTGGAGAATAAGATTTCTACTTTATAAGTTAGTTAATCTCTGTCAATCTTTCTTGCCTTCTCCTTCTAGTCTTGTTATTTTTGTCCATTGCATCCCTCTTATTGCTGTTATAAACATTTATTCCAGCCTCAATATCGTTATCAATAAAGTTTGAATCATCTAGCTTCGAATTCATCATGTCATTGACTCTTCTGGACTCTTAATCCCATTTATTAACGATTGCCTTAGAGAGTTCTATATATAATTTATCAGGATTATATATATCTTACGATCTGCCTCCTATTCTGTCATTGACAGTAGGAAATTTTTCAGCATCTTTTATGCAAATGAAAGTGCTTCATTTGGTATCTCACTTGATTACCTCTTATGATATGAACTATATCCAATCTTAGGCATTATATTCTAATTAGGTGTGGGTGGAAAGTCACCTTTTCCATCACCAATCTCAAACATATATTCAAGTCTTTGTTTTCCATCTTTGTCAAGCATGTCCTAATTAGATCAGAATATTGAAATTTACGAATGCTTCCAAAAATTGAGGGAAAGTTGCTAAGATTTAATGATTTGAGTGTTTAAACTCTTTCATTTCATTGAAATCATTGAGTTCTCTTGGCGGAGATTTTAATCCTGATGCTATCATAATACGAATAAATTAAATATTGAAAATTTTCTAATTTAACTCTTTTATTTCTGATGATTGGATGCCTGGGGTTTTGGGGTTTTGGGG